TGTTGCGCCAGAGGTCTCTTAGGCTGTCTTCATTTCTTTTCATTGTTTTTTCTTTATTCTGTTCTGTGGCAGTGAATTCCACCATTCTGTCTTCCAGGTCAGTTATCCATCCTTCTGCCTCAGTTATTCTGCTATTGATTCCTTCTAGTGTATTTTTCATTTCAGTTATTGTATTGTTCATCTTTGTTTGTTTGTTCTTTAATTCTTCTAGGTGTTTGTTCTCTAATTCTTCTAGGTCTTTGTTAAACATTTCTTGCATCTTCTCGATCTTTGCCTCCATTCTTTTTCCGAGGTCCTGGATCATCTTTACTATCATTATTCTGAATTCTTTTTCTGGAAGGTTGCCTATCTCCACTTCATTTAGTTGTTTTTCTGGGGTTTTATCTTGTTCCTTCATCTGCTACATAGCCCTCTGCCTTTTCATTTTGTTTATCTTACTGTGAATGTGGTTTTTGTTCCACAGGCTGCAGGATTGTGGTTCTTCTTGCTTCTGCTGTCTTCCCTCTGGTGGATGAGGCTACCTAAGAGGCTTGTGCAAGCTTCCTGATGGGAGGGACTGGTGGTGGGTAGAGCTGGGTGTTGTTCTGGTGGGCAGAGCTCTGCAAAACTTTAATCTGCTTGTCTGCTGATGGGTGGGGCTGAGTTCCCTCCCTGTTGGTTGTTTGGCCTGATGCAACCCAACACTGGAGCCTACAGGCTCTTTGGTGGGGCTAATGGCAGACTCTGGGAGGGCTCACGCCAAGGAGTACATCCCAGAACTTCTGCTGTCACTGTCCTTGTCCCAGCGGTGTGCCACAGCCATCCCCTGCCTCTGCAGGAGACCCTCCAACACTAGCAGGTAGGTCTTGTTCAGTCTCCTGTGGGGTCACTGCTCCTTCCCCCTGGGTCCTGATGTGCACACTACTTTGTGTGTGCCCTTCAAGAGTGGAGTCTCTGTTTCCCCCAGTCCCGTCGAAGTCCTGCAGTCAAATCCTGCTAGCCTTCAAAGTCTGATTCTCTAGGAACTCCTCCTCCCATTGCCAGCCCCCCAGGTTGGGAAGCCTGATGTGGGGCTCAGAACCTTCACTTCCAGTGGGTGGACTTCTGTGGTATAATTGTTCTCCAGTTTGTGAGTCACCCACCCAGGTGTTATGGGATTTGATTTTATTGTGATTGCACCCCTCCTACCGTCTCACTGCAGCTTCTCCTTTGTCTTTGATGTGGGGCACCTTTTTTGGTGAGTTCCAGTGTCTTCTTGTCAATGATTGTTCAGCAGTTCGTTGTGATTCCGATGCTTTTGCAGGAGGGAGTGAGTGCACATCCTTCTACTCTGCCATCTTGAACCAATCTCCCAGGTGCCGTTCTGAAATCCTCCCTCTAGCTCTTTCAGACCTTTTTTTTTCAACTTTTGTCTTCAGGCTTATCTTTGTACACTATTACCTTTTTAATTAACCACATCAGTTCGAGGGTGAAAGAAGGGAGGAGTAGTGAAAATTAACTATTGTTGCTGTGATGGAGACCAAGACTGAAATCAATGTCTACAATGAGGGGTGTTTGTTTTATTTATTACAGGAATTTTAGTTATCCATGCAATCCCTGGGCTGTTCCTAATGAGAATAATGCCCATGTGCTCCCAATTCATCACATTTTTCTTTATCCTAGTGAAATCTGATTTAAATGGCTATTAAGAACCAACATATTAAGGAAAAGGGCCACTTAAAGAGTGAGCCGTATCTGTAAGTGGGTGGAGAGGGTCCGGCAGCTTTGCATTGGCATGGCAGGTTAAGGAGGAGAAGAAGGTTGTGCCCTGGATATATAGTCACCTCAGGTGTATGGAAACCATTAATTTCTGGAGTTCTCTCTCATTGTTTTTCCCATCCCTCCCCCATTCACTGCAGGATGGTCCATTAATTATACTTGTGAAAGTATTACCTATAAAGAACCCCAAATTCAAATTTTATTTTCAAGTTGGATATTTTAAAAAACTGAACAGGATGCAGATTGTAATAAACACCCTTTAGATACCTTCTTTCCAGTCCAGGCCCATCCCTCACCTCCCACCCTCATTTATTTGAGGTCTGTTTTCCAAACTACCCCCAATGGCCCCTGCCCGTAAGGTTTCCTCCCCCTCACAGCCACACTTGTACTTCCCAAAGCTGGAGATCTGGTTCAAGCTAAGTCAGTTGGATTTCTCCCTTAAGAATTTGAACTGAGGGACAAAGAGCCTGGGAGTTGAGAACTGAGTCATCATAGCCAAGTGCTACAGGAAGGGTCCACAAATTCCTACCACTGATATCCCAGAGCTGGCCTGATTCTCACCCTGCTCAAGGTTAGTCAACTGTTTCTTAGCTTCTGTATACCACCACGATATATTTTCAGTAAGCTTCCCTTTTGCTTAAACTAGTTCAAGTAGGGTTTTGTTACTTTCAACCAAAGAAGTCTTAATTTAACTAAATACGAAATCAATTTCAAAAGAAAAATTCAAATATTTCTGGCATGAAGAAAACACTAGTGTGGCCTAAATGAAATCAGATATTCAAAGCTCAGTAGAAACTCTACTAGGATCGCTGTCTTTCTAGAAAACAAGGAAAATGTCCCCTCGTTATGAATAAACAGATGACATAAATCTCCATGACTAGACAACAAGGTACAGTACAACCAAATTTGTAGTAAAGCAAGTACTGTTCTTCATCACAGAGTTTTCCTGATTCCAAAAATCTAACAGGTTTTAACAAGTTGACAAAAAAGTTATTATCCCTATAATTCATATAATAGCCACAAACTGGTGGTCCGTGAGTCACACCCAATCCACAGATATATTTTGTTTGGCTTGCACTGTATTTTTAAAATTCTGAACTTGTTACCAAGTTTTAAAATTTTGGAATTTTCACCTAAAAATTCAGATTTACGGATCCTCTTTTTAAAAAAACTGACCTCTACATTATTAAATCTAATAGTCAATTTTCAGTCTTCATCTGATTTGATCTCTCAGCCTCATTTGACATAGCTGATCACTTTCTCCTTGAAATATTTTCTTCACTTGGCTCTGGGGCACCATTCTTTTTTATTTTCCTCCTATGTGATAGATAACTCAATTCTTTTTTTCCCAGTTTTATTGAGATATAATTGACGTACAGCACTATATAAGTTTAAGGTGTACAGCATAATGACTTGACATACACATATTGCAAAATGATTACCACAATAAGTTTAGTTAACATACATCACCTCATATAGTTACAAAAAAATTTTTTCCTTGTGATAAGCACTTTAAGAATCTACTCTCTTAGCAGTTTTCAAACATACTATAAATATATAACTATGTAACTATAGTCATCATGTTGTATACCCAGTATTTATCTTATAACTTGGAAGTTTGTACCCTTTGACCCACTTCTTCAATTCACCCAGCTTCGTCTCCCCACCTCTGGTAAACATCAATCTGATCACTTTTTCTATCCTCAATTCGTTTTGCTAATTCTTCCTCATCTCCCCACCTCTAAATGTTGGATAGCTCAAGACTCGATCCTTGAATGTCTGTAATAATTCCTTAAATTATCAAGTTTCAAGACCTTAAATATCAGCTCTATGCTGACAACTCTGAAATGTCTTTCCCCAGTTTGGCCTCCCACCTGCCTTCCGGTCATGTATCTAACTGCCTACTTAGCAGTTCCACTTGGATGTCTAATAGCTTGCTCAAATTTAACCTCTTCAGAAGCAAATTCTTGTCCCTCCCCATATAAATCTTCTCTTCCCCATCCAAGTAAATGGTTACTCTATTTTCAGACTATTTTCTAATTTCAGACTAAAATCCTAGAAGTCATTCCTTCTCTCTAACACTCACTCCATCAACATCTATATGCTTTCTCTTCAAAACCTATCAAGGGGGCTTCCCTGGTGGCGCAGTGGTTGAGAGTTCGCCTGCCGATGCAGGGGACACGGGGTTCGTGCCCCAATCTGGGAAGATCCCATGTGCTGCGGAGCGGCTGGGCCCGTGAGCCATGGCTGCTGGGCCTGTGTGTCTGGAGCCTGTGCTCCGCAACGGGAGAGGCCACAACAGTGAGAGGCCCGCATACCAAAAAAAAAAAAAAAAAAAAAAACCTATCAAGAGTCTGACCATTTCTCACCACTTTCACTCATCCAAGCCACTGTCATCTCTTGCCTACATTATTGTAATCACCTCCTAACTGGATTCCCTGGCTTGCTCTTGACCCCTTACAGCCTGTTCTCAACACATCAACAAATGATCGTTTCTAAGTATAAGTTAGATCATGCCTCTTCAAAACCTTTCAATCTGTTTCCATTTAATTCAGAGTAAAAGCCAAAGTCCTTACAATGACCTACAAAGTTCTACAAACTCAGGCTCTCCACAACTGCTTAGGCTTCATCTCCTCCCTCCATCATTGGTTCGGCCACAGGGGCCTTTGTGATGTTCCTTGAACACAACACACCTCAGGGCATTGCACTTGCCTTCTCCTGGGTATCTATATGGCATGCCCCCACACTTATTTCAGATCTCTTTCCAAAGGAAACTTATTAGCGCAGTCTTCCCTAACCACCCCTATAAAATAGCTGCCTAACTATATTCCCTTTTTTCACCTTTTCTCCATATAGCATTTGTCACCATCTGACAGACTATACATTTATTCGTGGATGTGTTTATTGTCAATCTCTATCCATATAATACAAAGTCCATGAAAGCCGGAACTTATTTATTTTGTTCACTGCCATAACCCCAAACCTAGAACACAGAGGCTAAGATGGAATTGGTAATAATCAGGTAACATAGATAACTCATCCTAAGCAGATACGCAATTATAAAAAATATTTTTGCCCTTCAGGCTCAAAATGAAATCTACTCTTCTGGGTTTTGCTAGGCCTCCGTTTTGACTTACCCTTCACTGGACATTAAAGGATTCTTGCTTTGGATAAGTTTTCTTGTTAATCTTGCATTAGGGAGTGGAAAAAATGAAAACCAATTATCATTGAACCTGAGTTAGAATAGAAGACAGAATCTTTACCTTGAAGAACTCAATGAGAACATCTTTATTTTCTAGCCAGATGATATTATGAAGATATTTGTCAGGAGTAGGGGGAGGAATTGCCATTGGAAAGTTATTCAGTGATTTTATTTTTGAAAGAAGCACCTAAAAGAAACAATCAAAATAATAGTGATCAGATCCTGTAACAGAAAAGGGACATCAGGTAAAAATGAAGGAAATCTAAATAAAATACTGTTATGCAAATCTAACCATGATTTTGACTCAGAGCTTCTCTCACCCTATTTAAATTGTCCTCTAACTTTTTTTTTGTCCCTATTCTCCCCCTTATTACTATCTTTATTACTATTCCCACTGGTATATTAACTCATATTGAATTTATCATTTTTATAATCCAATTAACAGTTGTAGTTTACCCTATCTTAAACTCAAATTATCTAAAATTCACAGTTGATTACCATATGATTTAATGCCACTTTCTCTAAATTTTTTTTTCATGTGAATAATTTGCTTCTCTAAGTTCTTCTAATTTTGGAGGATATATTTCTAGTTTTGTAGCCTCTTAGAAGCCTTCCCTGACTCCCCCCACCAGTAAGAGATAATCACTTATCTGCCTTATTCCCATGGTATCTCTTACAAATCTCCCTTATGGAACTCATTACATTGTAGTATTATTATTTTTACTTATCTGTTACATGTAACTTTTGTTGATTGGCTGAATAAGTGACTAAATGAAAAAGAGAGGAAGAGTCCATGGACTTTTCAAGACCCCATGGCATGTAGTAGGTGTTCAACAAATATTTACTCAGCTAAACTGGCTAGATTTACCTAGCTCTTTATGACCTGGGATTGATAATTATATCTCTTTAGCTGACAATTAGGCAGTTGGTAGGCATTCAATAAATAACTGTTGAATGATTGATTTACCCATTACCTTTCTAAATAAACCTATAGGAAAAAATAAGACTCTCTCTTCATAAGGGCTATTATTTATTTATTTTAACTAATGGGTATCAAGCATTCAATTGAATCTTATACAATATCCAAAGTAAGACGGGAACAATATACAAAAATACAAAACACAATGTGCACAGAGGTGTAACTTGAAGAATACTGTAAAGTGGTCTTTTTCACCCTTTTGACAGACACTAAGGAGAAATCATATTACCCATTTAGTCCTGTGCCATGACCTTATAGAGACTAATGAGGTAGAGCTATGACAGGGAAAGCTGGCCGGTCCCACGCCCACTTCCCTTCTGGGGCCATGGAGAGGGACTATGTGCAGGAAATATCCAGAAGCACAGTCCATGTGGCCTGTGGCTGAAAGGGACCAGTGACAAGGAAAAGCATTGACACCCAGGAGCAGCTTATTCTTGGGAATACACAGGCAGAATGTGGGACCAGAACTTCCATTTTTCTTCTCTATGCTAGGAGGCCAATAGACCCTTGTACAGAATAGAAAAAAACTTTCCTATTTTCACAATTTGCAGTCTAGATGGTAGAAGTGATAGAGTGGTAGGATTAAACATTAGATATTTTTTCCTCTGTCTTATGTTCCGAATTTTTTTTTGCAAATTTATAATTTTTCAAAAGTCCATTTATCAGCTAACCACTTAGGGTGTCTTCCTTGTTCCTCTCAGAACTGTTCCCTCCCTGATCTTCACCAACACACACACACACACACACACGATGGTCCCCTCCTGTCTATGTTAACAATAGGAAATTACCACCTCCCTTGCCACAGCTGGTGGGCTTGGGCACTGCATATTCCACCAATGGACAGACAGGCAGAAAAATCTAATGACTTTGTAGAGGGAGCCAAAAGAAGATTCCACAGAGGGGCAACCCTGATAAGAAATGGAGAATCTGAAAGCTTTCTAGGTCATTGTTCAAGTCCCTTCCTGAGGCCTGGCCATGTGGTCTGGCTACCATGGGATCTGTAAAGTGCTCTGTGTCCTTATAATAAATCCTCCAACTCCATTTCTTTGCTAAACCTAGCTCAGATTGGTTCTGTTACTTGCAACCAAGTGGTTTTGACATGGAGTGAACCAGGTAGTGCTGGCACTAGTTTCCATTGGCATTAACAAAGACTTAGGCAATTATAAAGTTTACAACTGTCATGACTCACCCTTTTCCCAATCTCCCTCACTAATTACACTCTGCTAGAGTAGCACTGCAGGCTTGAGTGCTCGGCTTATGGAATCCAGCAATATGGAAAATTGCTTTCTTACCTTCTTACCTTTTACCTATTACCTTTTACCTTTTTACCTTTTACCTATTACCTATTACCTTTTACCTTATTACCGTTCTTACCTTATTCATCTCAATGCCCTCATGTGTATCAATAATGCCTCTTGACCAAAGGAAGGTGAGGCTTTTCAGAGCTTTAGCAATCACGTTCCGGATTGCCTGCTTAGTCTTCAAAGCAATGACAACATCACGACCCTCATGCTCTATGAGTCCTGAAGCAAATAAAATTATCAGTAAGCAAACAATTCAATAACCACAATAATAACAAATATTTGCATAATAGTTTATAATTTCCAAAGTATTTACACAATATCCTTTCATTCCTGTCTCATATAGAACTTGTGAGACCAGTAGGACTAAAGTTATTTTCATCTTTATTTTACAGATGAGAGAATTGAAAAAAGGCTTCCTTCACCAGCTAAGAGAAAATCACTCCATCTTATTCCCATGGCATCTCCTACATATCTACATTATGAACTCATTACATTGTAATATTATTATTTTTTCTTATTTGTCTCATCCTCCATATTATATAATTTTTGGTGAGTGGATGAACAAATGACTGAATAAAAGTGCCCCTGGACTTTCGCTGGTGGGTCTTTCTGAGATCAAATCTCATATTCTTCCTCTTTAACAAGCATGAGAAATCAAGGGATTGACTGGGAGTCAAGGCTTAAACTGCATCTGTTTCATCCTTGTAATCCTAACCTTGAGCACAACACCTGACATCTGGAAGGTACTCAATCATTTTTTAACTGAATGAGCTGAGCAGTGAAATGAAGGACAGCATGGTGGAGAACATAGGTTTTAGTGTCTGATACACCTGGGCTTGAGATCTAGCTCACCACTTACCAGCCATAGGACCTCAGGGGAGTTAACCTTTCTAAGGCTCAGTTTCATTATCTATAAAATGAAGATGATAATAGTATTTGCCTCATGGAGCAATTATATGGATTAAATGAAATAATGCATATAAAGCCCTTAACACAATTCCTGATATAATTAGCATTCAGTAATAGGTTGCAGTAACCACACAGGAACAGGCACTCCCTTTCACATGACTGAATCAAGAAAACTTCGTAATATTCCATAGTGATCTAAAACATAAGACAGCGACTCCTAGGCCCCTAATCTTTAAAAGCACGGAAATAAAAATCTGCTTAATACATAGATGGAAAAAATGGGTCCTGGATTTTCTGAGACACTGCCAAAATATTCTGACCTATTGTCTCCAAACTTACAATTTCATTCATTAGACCATGTTCTTTCAGTTTTGATGTGAAAAGTATGTATGATCCTCATAAATCCATATGGCGTCTTACAGTGTGGTTATGAATACAAAGTGGTTTTGCTTTATTTCTTTTATATTAACGTCCATTTGTTAGGACGTTACCATATGCCAGGCTCTCTACTAGATACTTTTGCACACACTGAGAGCTTGGCCCACAGCCCCCATATGAGAAAAACACACCCGAGAAGTTTTGTATAAAATCCTAGGACTCCCCTGTAGGTTTCAACTCCAGCAGAGTGACTGTAGATGCTCAAGAAATGATACCCCTTGCAGCTCCACATTCCTTTGCAAAGTAAAGCAAAACAAAAACAACACCCTCTGTCAAAGGTAATCTTCATGTGTCTTTTTCTTACAACCTTAAGGCAGGGGTCCCCAACCCCTGGGCCATGGAACAGCACCAATCCGTGGCCTGTTAGGAACCAGGCCACACAGCAGGAGGTGAGCGGCGGGCGAGCGATCAAAGCTTCATCTACATTTACAGCCATTCCCCATCACTTGCATTACCGCCTGAGCTCCACCTCCTGTCAGATCAGTAGTGGCATTAGACTCTCATACAAGTGTGAACCCTACTGTGAACAACACATGCAACGGATCTAGGTTGCGTGCTTCTTATGAGAATCCAATGCCTGATGATCTGAGGTGGAGCTGAGGCGGTGATGCTAGTGCTGGGGAGCGGCTGCAAATACAGATTATCATTAGCAGAGAGGTTTGACTGCACAGAGACCATAAAAAATCAACTGCTTGCAGACTCAAATCAAAACCCTATCAGTGAGTGGAAAGTGACAATTAAGCTGCATCTGGTGGCAGGCTTTAAGTCAGAATCCGACAGTTATTTTAGGCCGTGCATGGCCCACCCGTTATTTTATTTTATTTCTTTTACCCATTATTTTATTCTCCACCTCCATCCGCACCTCTTTCCCGCACTCCACACTTGTCTCAATCACAGTTTTGGTAAGCCCACAAGCTAACCCTAGCCAAAATGAGTAAAAAACAAGCATCACTGGAGGGCTTCTTTGAAAACGGGTAAAGACCTGATGATGATACAGCAGAAGACTCTAAGACTGTCAACAAAAAGAAAGCTGCATTTAAAAGAAAATACTGGGGGTGGGGGTGGGGGTGGGGGGGCAGAGTCAAGATGGCAGCATGGGAGGACACAGAGTTCATGTCGCCCCACAACTAGGATGCCTGCTGGACACTGGTGGGGGAACTCGACGCCCAAGGAGGCGGGAGGAACCCCTGAGTGACTGGATAGGATGTGGGGGTAGTGAGGGGGAAGGAGAAGTGGAGGCCGGACAGGACCAGCACTGCTGAGGGGTGGCTGGGAGAGAGGAAGGGTTCCCATGCCTGCAGGGACCCTCAGGGATGCAGAGGATAGAGGGAACCACACCTAGTGTTTTCCCTACCCAATCGGCCCGCAAGAAGCCTGCTGGGCTTCCAGGCTGAGTCCTTCACCCTCTAAGGCCCCCTCTGAAAGACGTTGGTCCTGGGCGGGGGGGTGGCGGGACCAAAAGGAGAAGCGGACAGGGAGGGGCCCTCCGGGATTGGAGGATCAGGGGAAGTACCATGGGCGTTTTCCCCACGCAATCGGGCCCCCGGGAAGCCTGCTCCTGGGCCTGATCGTCCACCTCCAAGGCTCCCTCCAGCTGCGGGAGTCCTAGGGGCATGGGGTGGGGGCCAGAAGAAGAGAGGCCAATGGGAAGGGACCCTCTGGGATCAGAGTTGGGGGGAACATGCCTAGCGTTTCCCCCACCCACTGGTGCCCAGGGAGCCTGCTGTGGTCCTGGACCTGGTCCCCTGCCCACTCCTGGGCCCCTCCTGCCACATTGAGCCTAACCCTCACCTCCCACCCCTCAGGGCCTTTTCAGGCCCTGTGGGACCTAAGCATAGGCCCCGCCAACTGCCTAAACCCTGCTCCTGCCTAAGCCCCACCCACAACAGCCAAGACCTTGTCCCTTTTTCTCCTCTTTTTCGCTATTGTGATTCTGTTTCACCTTCCAGTTGTATTCAGTATTTTTATTTTTTTATTTAAAAAGATATTTTTATTTTTTTATATTTTTACTTTTTCTAACATATCTGTTAGTTTTCTATATATATTTTTATTTATAAAAATACATGGAGAAATTTATATTTTTTATTTTTATATTTTTATTTTTTCTAACATATATATATTTTTTTCTAACATATCTGTATTTTATCTATATTTCTATTTTTCCTAACATATCTGTTAGTTTTCTAATCTTATTTTCTGTTTTACTCTTTGATATTGTTCTGCTCCTTTTTTTTTTCTTTTCCTGATCTGCAAGGCTTGCAGGATCTTGATTCACGAGCCAGGGGTCAGGCCTGAGCTCCTGCAGTGGGAACTCTGAGTCCAAACAATGGGACTAACACAGAACCTCAGACCCCAGGGAATATTCATCAGAGTGAGGTCTCCTGGAGGTTCTCATCTTGGCAATAAGACCCAGCTCTACCTAACAGCCTACAAACTCCAGTGTTGGAAGCCTCAGGCCAAACAACCAGTAAGACAGGAACAAAATCCCACCCATCAGAAAAAAAACAATGAGATGACAAAAATATATGTCACAGATGAAGGACCAAGGTAAAAACCAACAAGACCAAATAAATGAAGAGGAAATAGGCAATCTACCTGAAAAAGAATTCAGAGTAATGATAGTAAAGATGATCTAAAACCTTGGAAATAGAATGGAGGCACAGATCGAGAAAATAAGAGAACTGTTTAACAAAGATCTAGAAGAACTAAAGAACAAACAGAGATGAACAACATAATAATTGAAATGAAAAATACACTAGAGGGAATCAAGAGCAGAAAAAATGAGGCAGAAGAATGAATAAGTGAGCTGGAAGACAGAATGGTGGAAATAACTGCTGAGGAGCAGAATAAAGAAAAAGTAATGAAAAGAACTGAAGACAATCACAGAGACCTCTGGGACAACACTAAATGCACCAACATTCAAATTATAGGGGTCCCAGAAGAAGAATAGAAAAAGAAAGAGTCTGAGAAAATATTTGAAGAGATTATAGGTGAAAACTTCCCAAACATGGGAAAGGAAATAGTCATCCAAGTCCACGAAGTGCAGAGAGTCCCATACAGGATAAACCCTAAGAAAAACACGCCAAGACACATATTAATCAAACTAACAAAAATTAAACTCAAAGAAAAAATATTAAGAGCAGCAAGAGAAAAACCAAAAATAATATACAAAAGAATCCCCATATGGTTATCAGCTGATTTTTCAGCAGACACTCTGCAGGCCAGAAGGGAGTGGCAGGATATACTAAAAGTGAAGAAAGAGAAAAACCTACAACCAAGATTACTCTACCCAGCAAGGATCTGATTCAGATTCGATGGAGAAATCAAAAGCTTTACAGACAAGACAAATCAAAAGCTAAGAGAATTCAGCACCACCAAACCAGCTTTACAACAAATGCTGAAGAAACTTCTCTAGGTGGGAAACACAAGAGAAGAAAATGACCCACAAAAAAAACCCATAACAATTAAGAAAATGGTGATAGGAACATACATATCGATAATAAACTTGAATGTAAATGGATTAAATGCTCCAACCAAAAGACACAGGCTCGCTAAATGGATACAAAAACATGACCCATATATATGTTGTCTATAAGAAACCCACTTCAGACCTAGGGACACATACAGACTCAAAGTGAAGGCATGGAAAAAGATATTCCATGCAAATGGAAATCAAAAGAAAGCTGGAGTAGCAATACTCATATCAGATAAAATAGACTTTAAAATAAAGACTGTTACAAGAGATAAGGAAGGACATTACATAATGATCAAGGGATCAATCCAAGACGAAGATATAACAATTATAAATATTTACGCACCCAACACAGGAGCACCTCAATACATAAGGCAAATGCTAACAGCCATAAAAGGGG